TGGCAACGCTCATGATTTTCATGGCGGTTGACAACCGTCATGATTTTCATGGGGGTTGGCAACGCCCATGATATTTCATGGTGGTTGGCAACGCCCATGAGTTTTCATGGTGGTTGGCAACGCCCATGATTTTTCATGGTGGTTGGCAACGCCTATGACTTTTCTTGGTGCTTGGCAACGCAAAACAAAAATCATGGTGGCTGGCATCGCCTATGATTTTGCAGGGTGGTTGGCAACGCATAAGGCACAGAAAATGGCCGCACAAAGGCCCGTTTGCTAAAAATGCCCGCACAAGGGGTTTTGCGGCAGAGAAGCACCACTTGCGCGGCCGTTCATTTTTCCATGGTGGTTGGCAACCAGCATGACTTTCATGGGGGTTGACAACCGTCATGATTTTCATGGCGGTTGGCAACGCTCATGAATTTCATGGGGGTTGGCAACGCCCATGATTTTTCATGGTGGTTGGCAACGCCCATGATATTTCATGGTGGTTGGCAACGCCTATGATTTTTCATGGTGGTTGACAACCGTCATGATTTTCATGGGGGTTGACAACCGTCATGATTTTCATGGCGGTTGACAACCAGCATGACTTTCATGGGGGTTGACAACCGTCATGATTTTCATGGCGGTTGGCAACGCTCATGATTTTCATGGGGGTTGGCAACGCCCATGATTTTTCATGGTGGCTGGCAACGCCCATGATTTTTCACGGTGGTTGGCAACGCCCATGATTTTTCATGGTGGTTGGCAACGCCCATGAATTTTCATGGCCGTTGGCAACGCCCATGATTTTTCATGGTGGTTGGCAACGGCCATGATCTTTCATGGCGGTTGGCAACGCCCATGACTTTTCATGATGGTTGGCAACGCCCATGATATTTCTTGGTGGTTGGCAACGCCCATGATTTTTCATGGTGGTTGGCGACGCCCATGATATTTCATGGTGGTTAACAACGCCCATGATATTTCATGGCGGTTGACAATGCCCATGATATTTCATGGTGGTTGGCAACGCTCATGATTTTCATGGCGGTTGACAACCGTCATGATTTTCATGGGGGTTGACAACCGTCATGATTTTCATGGCGGTTGACATGGGGGTTGGCAACGCCCATGATTTTTCATGGTGGTTGGCAACGCCCATGATTTTTCATGGTGGTTGGCAACGCGCATGTTTTTGCATGGTGGTTGGCAACGCCCATGATTTTTCACGGTGGTTGGCGACGCCCATGATTTTTCATGGTGGTTGGCAACGCCCATGGTTTTTCATGGTGGTTGGCAACGACGATGATTTTTCATGGCGGTTGGCAATGCCCATGATTTTTCATGGCGGTTGGCAACGCCCATGATTTTCATGGCGGTTGGCAACGCTCATGATTTTCATGGCGGTTGAAAACCGTCATGATCTTTCATGGGGGTTGGCAACGCCCATGATATTTGATGGTGGTTGGCAACGCCCATGATATTTCATGCTGGTTGGCAACGCCCATGATATTTCAGTGTGGTTGGCAACGCCCATGATTGGTGGTTGGCAACGCCTATGTTTCTTTTTATGATGGTTGGCAACGCCCATGACTTTCCATGGCGGTTGGCAACGCCTATGATATTTTCATGATAGTTGGCAACGCCTATGATTTTTCTTGGTGGTTGGCAACGCCCATGATTTTTCATGGTGGTTGGCGACGCCCATGATATTTCATGGTGGTGAACAACGCCCATGATATTTCATGGCGGTTGACAATGCCCATGATATTTCATGGTGGTTGGCGACGCCCATGATATTTCATGGTGGTTAACAACGCCCATGATATTTCATGGCGGTTGACAATGCCCATGATATTTCATGGCGGTTGGCAACGCTCATGATTTTCATGGGGGTTGGCAACACCGATGATATTTCATGGGGGTTGGCAACGCCCATGATATTTCATGGTGGTTGGCGACGCCCATGATTTTTCATGGTGGTTGGCAACGCCCATGGTTTTTCATGGTGGTTGGCAATGCCCATGATATTTCATAATGATTGGCACCGCCCATGCTTTTTCATGGTGGTTGGCGACGCCCATGATTTTTCATGGCGGCTGGCAACGCCCATGGTTTTTCATGGTGGTTGGCAACGCCTGGCAACGCCCATGATATTTCATGGTGGTTGGCAACACCCATGATATTTCATGGCGGCTGGCAACGCCCATGGTTTTTCATGGTGGTTGGCAACGCCTGGCAACGCCCATGATATTTCATGGTGGTTGGCAACGCTGATGATATTTCATGGTGGTTGGCAATGCCCATGATATTTCATGGTGGTTGGCGACGCCCATGATATTTCATGGTGGTTGGCAACGCCCATGATTTTTCATGGTGGTTGGCAACGCCCATGATATTTCATGGTGGTTGGCAACGCCCATGATATTTCCAACGCCCATGATTTTTCATGGTGGTTGGCAACGTGTATGACCCCTAATAATTGTTAAATCAAACAAGCAGGTGGAGTATGGGGAAGCGCCCAGCTGTTGAAGGGAAACAACTGGAACACCAGAACACCCACCATTGTGGGAGTCCACATTGCTCATCTGGGGGATTTTTTCAACAAGGCCCATGTGCTTCACACACACACACACGCATGCTTTATCAAGTGGCAAGGGGTGGGATTTAGGGTTTGCGTAGGAAGGGTTTAGGTGGGTGTAGGGTGGGTTTATTGTTAGCTTAGGGTCGGCTTAAGGCGTGGGGTGGTCTTGCCGTTGGTTTAGGGTGTAGGTTGAGGCTAGGGTGAGTTTAGAGATAGTGTGCCGTGGCCTTTGGGTGGGTTTCTGATTGGTTTGGTTTTTGTTTAGTTGGCTTGGTTTAGGGTTGATTTAGCGTCGATTTAGGGTTGGTTCGGGTGGGTTATGTACGGCTCAGGGTGGTTTGGAGTGGGTCTGAGGTGCGTAGGGGTGGAGTAGGGCTGATTTAGGGTGGCTTAGCTTCTGGCGGGTTTGGGGTTGGATAAGATCTGTGTATGGTTTGCTTAGGGTTTAGCATGATTAGGGTTGGTTTGGGGTTAGTTTAGGAAGGTGCAGGATGGGTGTAGGGTGGGGTTACGGTTGATTTAGGGTGGGTTTAGGGTGGGCTCAGGGTGCTGAAGGTGCTTGGGGTTGGTTTGGGTTTTTAACCCAGTCACATCACTTTACATTTTCTACTATACATCTCACTTCATAACAATATCATCAAGGCTACATATTCACATCCAGCTCCGGCAACTGCGATCGGGCATAACCCGCCCACCACCTCTTCGCCTCAACGAAACATCCTCCCCCAAACTCACCATCATAAAGGCTATACCCAACTAACTTCCCAAGAACGAATCGCTTGTTGATGTTTCCTCAAAACCGGCTAGTATATCCCAACACTACTACACCTCGCATTCCTAAGCGATTGATTTTATCGCATTCCCAAAATAATAATTCCGCACATTCCTCAACGAACCACTCATCTTGTTTAACAAATCCTCTTTATATCGATATATATATATATTACCCTTTTATTTATTCAATTTCTATATCAATAACATACTTATATTATAATATGTGCTCTTTTCTATACACTTATCGACTGTTGTCTCATGAATTCCAATTATCATATCTCTACATATGTGATATAATGAATACTACTCTATCATAATGCGATCACGTCCGTTGTGTTTGGTGGCCTGGTGCTAGTTGGTGTTGCCCTGAGAGCTTCTGGTTGTGCTCCCGTGGTGTTTCAGTGGTGTGGGTGTGTTTTTGAGGTCAAATTCAGCTGGGTACATAGCTCGGTTGGAGCAGACTGCAGAACAGAACCCTTGGCAGCACTGAGGCGATGGAACCGGCGGGCTCATATATGCGCCGGGCATCGCGGCCTGGCCATTTCACTTTGCTGAGCTGCACAAAGGAGCGGCCACGGCAGAATGTTCTGGAGGTATCCCGGTGGCTTTTTTTTTTAGTTTCTCGCCGCTGCTTTGGCGGTGGTCCGGTGGAAAGCTTGGTGCGCACATCCACGAATCTTAAAGCTATCTATTTGTCAAGCTAGCTATGTGTCAAAGCTAGCTATGTGTCAAAGCTATCTATCTGTCACGCTAACCATATTTTGGAAAGCTATCTATGTGTCAAGCTATCTGTCATGGCTATATGTCAAAGCAGCTAGCTCAGCTCATGTAGTTCCAGCACTGCGGAAGTTTCTTGTTAAACTTCCTTTGATCAATATCACCAAGAAATCAGGAGAGCTCGGGGATGGCAAGATGCAGAAAACGTTGGCTCTGCACAGATTGCGTGGCAGGCGCAGCATTTTCGCAAGGTCGAGTACAGATCTCGTGGCAGCGCAGCACTTTCGTAAGGTCACGTTCAGATTGCGTGGCAGGCGCGTCACCTTGGCAAGTTTCGGTACAGATTTAGAGATAGATCGATAGACAGATAGATAGAAAATAGAGACACAGAAAGATAGACAGGTAGACAGAGAGGTAGATAGATAGATAGCTAGATAGACAGAGAGTAGGAGAGCTAGGAGGATAGGTAAACGGATAGGTAGATAGATAGACAAATAGGTACAGTAGATAAGGAAACAAGAAAGAAAGAAAGTCCGAAAGACGCAAAGCGAAGAAAGAAAAAACCAGACGCAAGAAAGATGGGAGGAAAAGAAACAATGAAGCAAGACATAGACAAAGAAGCAGAGAAAACGAATCAAGAAAATACAGAGAAAGACAACCATAGCTTATTTATTTGGACACTTCCGGCCGGCGCTGCCGGAGCTTACTTGTAATCATGTCAATACTTTTGGTCCCTGCAACCTCATTCAGATTGCATTGGAATGAAAAGCTAGCTTATGTAAAACTTGAGCGAGGCATCTTGCCTTATGTATCCCAATGGACTGCGCAGGAATGCTTCATTGACAAGACCATCCCGCTCAAGGATGCAAGCTGAGGGAATCACAGGCCAGAAGCACCGCCAACGTCTTGCCAAGAAACTCGTTGCTTTGCGAAACCAATCTGCAAGACATGGTGCAATTCCCTGAGCTTCCGAAAGCACGCCATCCTCATTGGTCTGCTTTGCAAGTGAACCAACAACATTACCAGTGCTTTTGCATTCCGACTCAAGAATCAGCCAGCTCCCAATGCCATGCACGAATGCCATGTGCGGCATTGTCCCTCACAGCCTGGCAGGCCACCGGATGACCAAAGACTTGGGACCTAATGAAGATCAATCTCTTTCCAAGACCTTGACCCTGGTGGGCAGCAAAGGGATCCTCCATGTGCAGAAACCTTAAAACAGTTAATCAGTATAGTGACAGATTCCTCTTTCAAGGCAACAGGGGAATATAAAACAACCTCTCTTAAGCAACTGGACAAAATGAAAGGTTGGCTTTGGACGACTGAGTTGTACTCTTCGCGATCTCGGTCTGTGTGCTTTCGATGAAAGCAGGGGATCTTTCATTTGGGGGACAGGCTTAAGCACAACTCTTACCTCTTACCCTCTTTCTCCGGAGATGGTGGGAACAGCGTGTTAAGCCACCTAAGGTTACCACCCCAAGTGCCTGGTCGCATTGCGAGGAGGCTGCGAGCCGCCACAGAGGGTGACATCCTGGGCGAAACCAATGGCTGACTCTGCGAGCCTTGGACAATAACTGGGCATCGGCAACTTGGGTGTGATTGAAAATTGGGCGCGACCCCGGGTGCACTCCACACGGACAAAACCCCTGTGAGAGACAGCAGACAGAGTGAGCCAAGAGCACTCTGAGCGAACCAGTTCTGGACATGTGTGCATCAGTGCAACGTCGCATAGAATGCATGCAGCATCTTTGCAGGTGGTCTCCCACCAACATGGAACCCAGCAGGATGCCGCTTTGAATAGAACATGACTTTTAGGGGATGCGTGAGACGGTTCAAAGCTAAACCTTCTGCGCTGCTTGGATCGGCTTCCCTAACCAGATGGATTTTGTGGAATTAGAAGTGATCACCTTTTGCGACCTCCAAATATCGACCAAACCAGGAACACCAAGGTCGGCTTCGCGCAACAAAACAACTCAAAAGGTCAGCTCGGGGCACAGCTTTTGAAATGGGCTGTGACAAATCAGAATGTCGGATCCCATTCTTCATCCAACTCCGCAGCGAAATGACGAGGGAAGCCACCGTTTGCTTGGCCACTGATGCGCAGTCGCGATGGAGTCCCTTTACAACCGACACGCACACAGACGAAAATGGAAGGGTCTCTCAATTCGGACCGGGGCAAATCTTCAACCTTCGGACCGACGGCTTGCAGCCAGCACGCTTTCCATGTGGCCAGGGAAATCTCCTGGCAAATCGCGAGGCCCTGCCTCGTTACCGATCTTTTTTTCCCCAAAGTCAAAGGAACAGCTCGCTGAGGCTGCGGCCACCCTACAAGCAAACAGGGGAGTCCTTTTCAACTACTAGGTCCTCCAGTAGAGAGCTTTCTGTAGTCTACTTGAGTAGGGGAACCCTCCCCCAAAAAAAGGGTAAAAGGGCACTTCTGGGAGACCTAGACTAGGACCCAGCACGGTATTCCTTTTCAAACATAATGGCGACCCGGAATGTGGAGGATCTTCTCTGCAATCGGGCACCGCCGCTTGATGCACCATGGGTTTTAATAGTTTTAATACCCCTGGGCCAATATCAGGACGGTTGTTCCCAACAGGAACGTAGTGTCGACCGTGTGTTTGTTTTTGTTGGGCAGTTGTGAACGCTCTGACAAAACGGTACAAGTCGGCCATTGCCAAGATGCAGTTCTACGCACAGGGTGCTCCCCTGCAACTCCTGCATGAACTCTCAGAGCAAAGGCTGGCAAGCTCCAGGGGAGTAAAATACATGCTAAACAGATCGAATGCGTGTTCCAGGCGAGCACAGCCAATGACACACACACACACAAAGCCGCGCCGTTTTTGTTCCACAACACGAGAGCAACTCTGCCCGAAGGCTTCCCAAGGACAACAGTCCCAGTTTGCAGCCAGTGGTTTTTGCTTGGTCGATTCCATGTTGGTCCCCTAAAAAAAAACACAGGGTTCCAAAGCTTCCCCCTAATTGGTGGTTTGGATTGGTGATTTAGGGGTTAGGGTAATTGTCCAATTTTATCCACAGTAATGAAGGGTTCAAATCCCCAAACAGCCAACCAGCAACTAGGGGGTACCTGTCTTGGTTGAATCATTTGTTCGCTGAAGTCCGGGCCAAGCAACCGCAGGATCCTTCCATTTTAATGAAAGGAGTTGGCCGCCCTTACTGACTTGATTATGGGGAATTATCGGGAATGCTCCCCTTCCAGCATCCCCCAACGACCCCTTTTCGACTGAACTTGGGATCCTGGACATGGGACAAATCAGTTGTTCTAGGGGTACCTTCCCAGTTCTTTCCAGGCATCCTTCTTTTCAGGAAGCCAAAAACCCAGGGGAAACAGCCGGTTTTTGAAAAGAACGATGGTTGAAAAGAATGGGGAATCAACCCCTAGAGTTGTTGGGGGTGCTGCCCCCGATGAAAGCATCCTCCACGCGTGTGCCGCAACCAACCGGAGACCGGGCAATCCGTGAAACGCTCTCGGATACTCCAACTGCCCCCGGCCTAACGCTCCTGAGGAGCGTTGCTTGCCGGCGATTGTAAACAGACTCTCCCTTTCAAGCCCCTTCAGCGAGTCCTTTCTGCAGGGGGCCGCACTCTTTAAAACTTCTAAGAGGACCTGGGAGAGGCATTTACAATCGGGTGCCTCCCTTGCGATCTCCCTCTGCATCTGCCTGAGCAAGAGGAGAACCGATTCAGGTCGGGAAAGTTGGAAGGAGGTGGCCTCCTTCACTTTCTCAGTGCGCTGGGCCAACTCTTCAAAAAAAAAAAAATGGATTCCAAATCTTCTTACCACCAAAATGATGCTCCCAAAAAATCAAAGGAAGGTTAAACAGACCCGTATACTGAGACTCTGCTCCCTGGCCTGGACTTTGATATCACATCCAAATTTGAGGCAGTCGGAGATTTGAGACGACCCGTGTCAAGTCTCTGGCTCAATCTGGCCAAGCAGTTGAACAAATGTCCTGGGAAGCATGGCGCATGCTTGTGGACCACAAGCGCACCATTTAGCCATTTAGTTGTGTCATGGTTGTGCTGTTAAGAGTACCCTTTCCACCTTGGTGTAAAGGGAAACCAAAACGGAAAATCACTTTTGTTGGCCCCCTTATTTGACCACATACAGTATACTTAGTTGCAACCAATAAACCGGTTTTGGAACGATAAAGTGGGAAACCTAATTTCTATAACGATGTATTTGGTCGACCTTTGGCGTTGCCATCCTGCGTTTGGCTGGCCGAAACCAGCTGAAAGTTTACTCTCAGAACAACAAGCGTTGATTGGTGCACAGGCCTAAAATGACCGTCTCTTGGACAGGGGTCAGGTTCTCGTCCATGTCTGCTTGAATTCGGGAATTTGCCAACTCGACAGGAAGGATCAGGTTGAACCGTGTCCCCTTGAGTAGCTTGGACCTCTGCCACCTGCTCCTGCAGATCAGGATGCGAACTAAAAAAACGTACAGCAAACACGTTGTGTTTCTCAACGTGACGTGATTCTACGAGCATGGTTCAACACAAGAAGAAGGGCAGTTTTCCGTTCGGCTAACATTACGATAGCTTTGGGTGTAAGGTAGATTTGGGGACTTGATTTGGGAAGTTGGTGCTGGTTTGGTTCTGGTTTTGGTTTTGGTTTGTCGTAGGTTGAGGTCAGGTTTATCGGGCTAAGGTAGGGCTTGCTCGGGTTCGCCTTAAGGTGGCAAGGTCTCCCCCGTGACTGAGGCATGCATCTGCGCCGAATACCAGTATTCACTGTCACTAACATGAATGAAGAAGGAGGTTGTCCGGTAAAGGACTTCTCATGAGTGTGTTGGCTTGTTTTGCCCCCACTCACCAATGCAAATGAAGCATGCAGTGACTCTCAGCTCAAAGCTGGGAGCCCAACATGCAGAGGACGTGAAAACGGGCAATGTGCGCCTCGTGCCAGCCGGCATCGGATATCGCAACATCAAACTCAGAAATGGCCTTTCAGAAGCGCGCACATGCCGGCGCTCGCTCGCTCGCTCTGTCTGTTGTTTTCTATCCAAATACGGATGAGATGACCCACATAGGATCACATAGGCACATCGCGTGAAACTGGGCTGCTCCAAATGAAGGGTAGAAATTCTATTCCGATGTTCACGAATGAGATCAGGTTTTTCATTGTCCTTTCCTGAACGCGGACAACGTGACTTACAGCCCGGTCAAGCAAAAGCAAGTATGAATCAACTCCCAACATGATGAACCCGGGTGAGCCGGAATCCGTGCTGTCGAGATATTTGTGTGAAACACGGACCTTTTGAATTGGGGGGGGGAAACAAATACGTGATGGAATTCCCGGCTGGTTGGCTCGCGAAATGTAGCTCGAACGATTTACTTGGTTATTTTGGTTTACTTATCGGTTTATCTAATTTTATTTACGTATCTATATAGTCTATTCAGGATTTTATGCAAACAAGGACGTTATTTGCTATCTAACTGGTTGACTGGTCGGGTGTTCCCGAACAAACATTTTTTTGGTGGTTTGCCTCATGGTCATCCCACGTAAAGGACCTTTGGATCAACGTCTATATGGTCCTTTGCTGTCTTCTGTGCTATCTTGGCCAGGCCAACTGCAGCATCGCCCAGTCTTTGCGGGACCTTGCAGGCCACGGCTACGGTATTCCAAATGAATTTAGTCCTGAACAAAATGGAATGTTTAATCCTCAACATAGATCTGCGCACCTCACATTCGCGACATGGCCTGCAAAATGCCTCTTCCTTTTTGAAAGCAGCGTTCCCTAACAGCCTTTGAAGTAAAAAGGTATGCCCCAAATCCCCCCAACTTGGCCCAAACCCGCAACACCGAAGCCCCAGGTACGGCGCCAGGACTCCGCCCCAGTGTCTGCTTCACCTGGCGAAGCTCGGAATTTGGAGCGGGCTGTGTACTCCAGTGGTCCTGTGGATGGAACAACCCAACCAGCGGTCCAGATGGAAAAGAAACATTGAAACGGCTTTCTTCTCATGGCTTGTTTACCCGCGGAAGTGCAGCTGAGCAAGGAAGGAGACCTGGAAGCAGGTCAGGAACAATGGCATTTCATGGCAAGGAAACACCATAGACCATGGGAAAAGCCAACAAACCAATCCGACTAGTTGCCTGCTACACACGGAGTCTCCGAGCTTTTTCTGTGAAATTCAGAAGCCGCCAAAAATATGTCTTGCATGTCTTGCAGCCAGAAAGGGTGGGCTTGTTTCTCGGGAAATCATGTTGGGAGGGTGAGGGGGAAAGTAGAAGGTACTTGTGCCACTTGGTTGGCTGGGTTCTTTCTAGGAGAAGTGCATAGTCTTGCAATATCTTGCAAACCGGAATTCCAAGTGGCAACTAATACGATGCATCACCGAGGTACTTTCACCCTAAGCCTAGGTGGCTAGCTTTCGTTGCTTAAGGTGTTACAATACTCGCAGTTCTCGAAAATAACATGTTTACCACCAGGCCGGGCCATTTTTCTTCACAACCAATAGGAAAGAATTGACACCGTGGGCAAATGAAAGCTGGAAATCGAGAACTGATGCATTCACAGAGGTCGCAATCGCCAATCCATGAGCCTCTGCAAGGGAATCTTCCGAGGCATGCCAAGGAAACAAGTTGTTTGGTTGAGGGATGCGTGTTTGCAAGGGAACACAATAGTTAACTGGCGTTTCCTGGCACGTGGAGTCTTCTAAAGGACAGTGGGCTCTTTGATCGGAGTGCAGCGAAAAAGCACTCGGGGCTGCTCCAATGCAAAAAAAGGGGTTGCAATCCAACCAGCCCAAGTGTTGATTGATTCCTTATGGGCTGCAATACCTCCTGTCCGTTTGTTTGATAGAGACTTCTGTTCCGCGGGGTAAGAAAGAGATTGCGATGGCCTCTGTTTCAACCAATGGCCATGGCTAAAGCCACGAAGAAGCTGTGTCGTAGCGCACAGTAGCCAGTGCCGTGGCAAAAACAGCCAAAAAGCGAGACCAGCCAATCTCAGTGGACCAACTTGGGGCCAAATATATGAAAATCTCACTTGCCCAAAGAACCTGGAAGTAGAAAGTTAAGCCTTTGGGACCTTCACCCCTTGAGCAAACTGCGAAGAGGGATCTTCTTTGGGGACCCCTGTTTGGGTTGTATCCACATCATGTGGAAATGAGGGCGCTGAATTTGTTTTCGTCGGTTTCCTTTTGAGTTCCCTCACTTTCGTTTGTTCTGCAGCTTTCTTTCATCAGGGGCCTTCCGTGAAAAGAAGCTTCGAGCGACATCGGGGGACGTGACTCATGGCGTCCGGAGCCCATGGGTCCGTTTCGTGTTGCTTCTGAAATTCGGGTTGATGTCGAAGGGGACAACTAAGAACCCGAGCGTTGGCAGGGGACACTATTTGGTATTTGGAGGAACAAACTGCTTACTGGTTTCCCGTAAAGGTTTTAAGTGGCAGCCGCTGGTTCGATGGTTCCATGCAACTGTTCCGAGTGTTAGCTGTCGGACCTTCTTGCAGGAGGCCAAGTCGCGCTTACGCTAGGAAGGGAAAATGGGTGAGCTTCTTTCGGAAAATGATCGCATGCCTTTTCGGCCAACACTTGGAAGGGTGAAAGGGTGAACTTCATTCGGACAAGGATCGCATGCATTTTCGACCAACGCAATGTGGTACATGAAGTTGCACCCCTCGGTGTGTAGAAACCCTCTCGTAGACCCCCATCGAATATCACCCCCCTTCCCCCCGAATCGCATCCCAATCGCATGGCCCTTGAACTATTGGTTTGGGCCATGAACAGTGCCGGTTGGGACTGCCAGGAGCCAACGTGCCCACATTGGAGTGTTGGCACCAAATGAACGTGATCAACAGTAGGGACCTTTCCAATCAAGGTGAGTTTGTTGGCCGCCCCTTTTAGAGATGATCCGGCGCTGAATCAAGCTGATAGGGATCAGGGGTCGAAATCACGCATGGAATTGAGTAGCGCGTAACACACATTGGCGTTTGGTTCTACCTACGGATGATGAGACCAGGTGGTAGAGCCTGAGCCATCTACTAAAGTGGCTAAATGCGGGTTTTGTGCGCTGCTCAATTCTCTGCTCCGACCGAAACAATAACACAAAAACATGTATTGTTGCCCTATGATCATGACGTATCTTGATGTAGACCCGCAACCCCATTCAAATTGAGGCCCTGGTAGTAAGCCACCTGAACAGGGAGTAGCAACACACGCTGGTGTGGCAGCACATAGGGGTAGAGCTCGAACTTTCGCGATGTACCTCCAGGGATTGTGCCCTGGTCAAAACTCGCCAAACCCAGACCTATTGGGGTTGACGTACATCCCTTCTCAAAAGAGCAGCTCACTTCAAATCACCAAAGGTGATCGGGACGCCTTCCCTCGAAGTAATTCTGCAGATGACGTAAGGCAGTGGCCTCAAGCAGAAGCCTTGCCCAGTTTGGACCCAGAAATACCAATCGTCGAGCTGTTGTGGCAAATCATCGACATGGACCCCAAAAGGAGACCAAGAGGTCAAGAAGACTAGCGCATTTGAAGAATCCGACCTATCAAGGATCCCAAAAAACCTATGAACTTCGGCCAAGTCCTGGGGCTGGGGTAGGGCTATGGGGGAAGCAAGTGGCGAGCCTGTGAACAAGTAAACTCCATGTCGCCCCAACCCAACGGCAACAACGGCAACAGAAAAACGGAGTTGGCCCAACGCTTTCGCTTTGATCAATGCACCTTTGATAAGCTTTCGAGCCCGCGCCTCTGCCTGGTTTCAGCACCTAGCCGTCAGCCAAGCGAAAGGTTGCTCTGGCTGGAGTCTGCTCTTCGCGTGACGTCCTATTTTTCCCCCCCCCCCCTCTTTTCCGGCATCCCAAGCAACTGTAGCCGGGAAAAAAACAACAAAAACACCCTGTGAGTCGATGAGTAGCATATCCCATTGTCACCCCGTGAGTCAAATCCTACATTTCCTATTGAGTAGCACATCCCGCCCAGTAGCATTCCCACTCATTGCATCGAAGAACACACACCAAGGTCTTTGCCGCGGGAGGTGCCCTGTCCAGCATCCCCGAATGACTGCGTGGTGGAAAAGGTGCAAAATGCCCAAGCGCTGTCCAAAGAACAGTTGGGGGACGAACACGTGTGCTTTTGTGGGGAGCATGCTTGGGGTCCTCCCCTTTAATAGCAACCCAAAGGGGGTCCTTTCCTCCATGGCCCAAGAAAGCTCCATAAAGCTCCCAAACGTTCTACCACCAAAATGGCCTACCAAGAATGGTCCAAAGTCCAGTCAAACCGTGGACAAGCCCTACTCCCTGAAAACTGAGATCCACGGTTGGCAACGAGAGCCGTGGAGCCCGCGACCCGAAACCCCACCTCCATGGCGTGCATGAAGGCGATGCCCAGCGCGAAGGAGCCGATCAATCGCGCGTCCTGGCGATGGCGTCGATGGATGCGCGAAGCCCCGCTGCGTGCAGTCGCCCGGGAAATCGATGCTTGGACCACATCGACTTCACAAAAACCCAGGGGTTTTATGGGCTTTTGGGGGGTAGATGACTTGGGTTGAAGTGCAACTCGACATAAATCACCCCAAACAAGCATTTTCCTCCCCAAGAGGAGGTATCAACAAACACACACGTTAACCCCTAAGTCATGATACCCCGAATATTCAATCAGGGGTTCGGTCACTAAACAGGGACTCCTTAAATAAGAGGGGGGGTTTATTAATCAGGGGTCGACACTGCTTCAATGAGCCTGGTAGAAAATGAATTGGAATCCCTTTTAGGATTGAGCATTTTAGGTCGGGAACCCACCGCGAAAAGGAAGAAAGGGGTGTCCCTGATCCACAGGAGTAGATGATGGCAGAAGATTAAGAGGAAACCACATGAAGCCACTCCCAGAATGGACCCCAAAGCGAAAGGAACAAAGAAACCACGGGTTGCCTGAGTGTGGCCCACGTCATTCCCATTGATGCAGTGAAAAAAAAAAACGAAAGCCCAGGTTCATTCCAAGTGGGTCATTCCATATGACCTCCAGCAAAGGGTACGGAAACCAAGAAGAAACTTGCACCCATCCCACGCGCTGAAGTTTCCAGGTCGCCGCCTGGAACATGCCATCGGTGGCGGGGGACCTCGAGATCGACACCCACCCCGTTGTCGTGTCTGGTGCTTTTTTTCAGGCGAAGGTCGTGTCTGGGGCTTTAAGAGAACCCATGTTTCCAGAAACTTACGTGGAACCTGGAATCCAAAATTGCTCGGAGTTCCCATACACTGCAGTTCCTCGCAGAAGCCGTTTGAGTTGTCAAGTGGCAAGTGGCAAGGTCCGGTTGCGCACTCTCGAAACTAGCAAGCCTCCTGGGCCGCAAGAGATCGTTTTCAAGGGAATCAATCTGCCAAGCAGATGCCCCTCACAGCGTTCACTCGTCTGAGTGGAGTTCCCGACCCTTGGCATTGGAAGCCCCGAAAAAGAACCTGCATGGTGCATGGGTGAGGTCGCAACCTCCTTTGTACTTTGGCCTGGAACACAAGGGGCAAAATGGGTGTGCCGGCCTGCGGTGAAGGAATTTGGGAGGGGTCCCGCTTGCCAGTGGCTTCAAGAGACAGTTGTATACATTTGTCACCTGGATCGCCAGTTGCTGCTTTTTTTCCATCCCCCTTATCCCAAAAACCAGCAACAGTGACTGAACAAAGCAGCAACTTGGCTATCTAGGCAGCTGCCACTCTGCACCGACTCACTTTCATGGCACCACCGATGTTTCCAATTGAGGTTTGCCCTGGTACCGGGTCAGAACCCTTGAGTAACAAAATAGGAAGACCCTGACACCAGTTGTTGTGAAGACCCTGCTTGTGAAGGAAGCTAATTTGAGTCCACAAGAAACTGATAGTAGAGTCTATTGATTTGCTCTACCAGAATGCTACATTTGCCAAAAGCTGATCAAACTCTACATGCTGCTATGCCTGGAATTGTTGGGTCTTGCGGGCGCTTTGAACGGGTCCCCGAACGTGCTTGTCTTGTGCTCAAGGCTCAAGGTCCCTGGTTGCTCAGGTGCGGAAAGGAAAGGGCTTGTTTCAAGACTGGGGGTCTACAAACGCAGCCAATTGCCCTTGATCCCATGTCCGTCTCCATCCAGACCTCCAGTGGTCATCGGGGGAAACGGGCACCTTTTTTTTGAAGTTAACTTTAAGGGGAAGCCCCCCTCCAAACAAGCTGACCAAAAGCCACCGGATTCATTTCACCCCCATCCCCTCGAGTTGGGCTGCAGCTTGTTCAAAGTTCTGAAACCGTGTCCTGCTTTGGCACCCGCGCTGGCTCTCCATGCGCGGAGCCTCCGGCCTGCACAAAAACTTCAACAAAGCTGCTTGCAGGCCATCCCTTCCGGCACCCCGCGACGAGGTTTTTGGACATGGGGACAACATGTCGTCCGGAAGGTGTTGGTGTCCACTATCTCACTTGTCCATAGAACATGGGGTTGATTTAAACAAAGGGAACTCGAGGGGAATGGCCCATAAGGGGCACTTCCTTGGATGTGAATAATTTGCGGCTCATGTCTCTTTGTTGACCGTTCTGCGGATGGAGGTGCTTTCTGCGTCTCACTTGGGTCTTAATGGGTTGAGCCCCTTGATGGTTTTCAAGGGAACCCAACAGGAAGCCTAATCATTTTGGGGGGACACCTATTTTGAGAAGCGCGTCTTCTGGTGATAACACACCTCCCGAAAGGAAAGCCCAAGGCCTAGTTGGGTTCCAAGCCACTACCTTCGCATGGATTTCCCATAGTGGTGGAAGCCTATCTTCAAGGCCAACTCCTTCGCATTGATTTCTGTGCAGATCCCGCCTGCCACAAAGGTCTTCGTTGAGCACCACAGGCGACTCATCCCTGGGTTCAGAACCTGGGACACAGGGTTCGCTCCTGCAGATCAACAAAAAAGGGAGTGGGGGAGGAATGTTGAAAAAGGCTTCCCCAACAAGATTCCTCTGAAATTGATGATGCCATTGGGGGGCATGTTAAACAGGAAATTGCGGTTGTGCTTGGACTTCTCAGCTTGATAAATCCCACAAATTCGCCTCGGTTCATGGCTGCCTCCAGTCCGCCTGAGGCGAGCCTGGAAGGTCCAGGGCCAGGAGGTCACATCCCTTCAACTTCGGCAGGTTCTCCCCCTTCCAACCCCGCAAATCCGTCCACAAACTCCAGACTCCAGGCTGCGCAGACTGCGCACTCCAGACTCTAGCCTCCAGACTGCAGACTCCAGACAGACTCCAGCCAGCCTTTAGACTCCAGACTTCATGCTTCAGGCTCCACAGCCTCCAGACTCCAGACTCACACTTCAGGCTCCAGACGCCAGCCTGCACACTTGAAACCTGCCCAAACCCTGAAAAACCGATCAAATCCGGGTCAAATCCACTGCTAGAAGCCGATAGAAATAGGTCAACTTCCCATCTAGCTCCGGTCAAATCCCGCTAGACGTCGAGCCCCCCTAGAAACCGGCCTTAAAGCCGGCCAAATCTCGCTTCAGAAACCACGTGAAACTCTCTTCTACAAACCTCTCACACTCCCATCACATCCTGCTAGAAACTGGCAAAATCCCCCCCCAAAAAACAACAGCCAAATTCCCTAGCAATTTGGACCTGCGCTTGGCCCACCATTTTGTAGCTCTCTGCGGCTCTTGTTCTGGCCCTCGAAGCCAGGTGGAATCGCGCGGACATGCACCCACCCTCTAGCTTGGAAACCAGCTCACGCATTTCAGCGCTGACTCACTCACTTCAATAACAACACTTCAAGGCAAACAAAAGCACAGTAAATACCTCAAAGCCAGCCAAAAGCGGACTGGCCGAGGCGGGCAACGCGAAGCGTTGACAATAACATTCCACGGAGGTCGGCTAGTTCCCTGTGAGAGTGGTTCCATGCAAAAGGACTTTGGGGTGACGTGCCTCTCCATTTGGACCTTTCCAAGCACATGGATCTTCTATGGATACCAATTGTTCGGTGCCCCAACTCCATTTGCTGAAGTCACATGAAAACAACATCCAGTAGTGATAGATGTCCTTTAAAACCAACAGGGGAAAATTGGAAAAACATATTCTTAACCAACATGGAAGAAGCACTGCTCCCCTTTGGATAGCCTGAAAGGCTTCTTCCATTTGAAGCTATGCCCCATGGAAGCCCAGGAACAAACGGGCCCGTTTTCAGCGCGGAACAACGACCGATTTGTTTCGGCCGCCCAGCGCAAGGAGGAGGCGGCATGAAGCTGGCCTCAGCTGTCGGCAAGCGGGGTGAGACGCGCCAAATGCGTCTGGGAAAGAGGAAACGAGCTCTGTCCGTCATTTCCTTGTGATTCCGATTTCAGGAGAATGAGAGGGCCGGAAATAGTTCAAGTTCTCATATTTGTTGGGGTGAATTTAGATGCCCCCCGGCTGCACCAGCTCCAGACTCAAAAAGGCTCTGAAAGAGGCTCTTAAAAGGGAGAGGATAGGCTCCTGAAATGCCACAGGCGCCTTTTGAGGGTGGCGTGATTCTACACCAACAAATCAAGCAACTCAATCAAGGGCGATGTTTTAAGCCAGCAAAGCTACATGCGCGGGACGTGGACAAGAAGTCAAATGTGCCGCCCAAACCACCAACTATGGGTAACAAGAACTGGGAATGAGGAGAGTTGCTTTCGTGGCGACATACATATAATAAATATATACGCAAATATATTATAATATTGACTTTTGCTCATTTGCGCCATCCAGGCTTAGCCCAAGGAACGACATCTTTTCACTGAGAGGGCTGGTCGCCAGCAACAAAAAACCCTGCGGCTTCTGATGGCCTGACGTAAGGCCGCGGCTAAATATGAACACGGCAATCAGCTGCAAGGTAGAGCGTAGGCGGGCCATCTGGCGCCGAATCGGCTTGCCCCGTTTGCCAGAACCCGCAAGAACCAGGCAAATCAAATCTTCCAGCCATCAGCTCAAGTACCCGAATCCTGGCTCAAAAGGGAACACCCTCCCCCTTATTCCCACCAAAAATGAAAAACTGGCTCGGCAGGACAAGCTTTGAGTGAGTTGGTCAGCGTTGGGTGACGAAATCGCCCAATGCTCCTTGCTCCCTGAAAACCACAAGATGGAGGCCAAATCGTTTCAAAGGAGACTCCTCAAGCTTCGGAGTCCAGCATAACCTTGTTGCGCGTTTGCATCCCCCCACCTTCCAGGTCCCCGTCATGTGCCCAGAATCCTAAGTCAATCTGAATCAATCATGTCTGCACCGTCCTCCGAACTCCATCCCCAAAGTGTGCAATTCCTGAGAGTTGTCCGGCACCTTACAATGAACAATATGGTGCAGGCACATCAGTTGATATTTCTCTTGGACTTCTGCAACTCCAATTCCCCAAAATTGCTTTGCTCTGGAATCACCGGAAGGCTCAGAAGCCAGTGTTTTTTCCAAAAGCCGGGCTTTTGTGCGTCCAGGGGAGAATCCCTTTTCGACGCTCGCAAGGTTGTGCGTGGGGGCCACAAAGGGACCTTGTGCTGGCTACCCTGTCAGTAGATGCTACGCCTTCAACAATTGGGGGGGGGGGGTCGCCAAGCACGGCTCAACATCAACCCAGTTTTCTAGGGTCCTGAATTTAGAGGATACAGTACCGGCCGAACAATGCAGACAAGAACGCCTTGGGCCCAACCCCTTGCAACTGTCTTTAGATTCATGCCAGCTCAGAAGGCACAGGCATGGCCATGTCGATGTGTGTCATGGATGTTGCTTGTCCATTTTGGGTGGATCTTGAGGACCCTCTTGGGATTGTTTTGCATCAAGGGGAGCCAACAAAAAGCCAAACGTGGGCCAACGCCTACCAAAGAAAACGTCCAATTCGCAGCTTGTCAGAACCATAGCCTTGTCCTTGTCCGAACCCTGATGCGTTGTGCAACCATTGGTCTTGGCTTCGACATCCAGCCAACTTGGATTGTCCTCCACCCAAACAACATTCCTTGAAAGGTTGAGAGCCACGGATGGCCATGACCGGCCCAACAAACGGCCTCCGGAAGCGCCCGTAGGTTTTCGGGCGGGCCGATGCCTGGAATCGGAAAATCCCAATGTCAGGTGCAAATATGACTCTCTGGCACCCTGCTGGCAAATACATGTTCGGTCAACTCCCCCCCGTCCCCCATCATAGGACCATGGTGTTCGGTCCTTTGCTTACCCCTTAAAACTCCAAGCCCTGGGGAAGTTAATCTTTTACAGACATATAGCCCATGTTATCCCCAAACAGTTGAAAAAGTTGCGTTTTTAAGAGGTAAGTTTGTGTATGTGACCCGTACGAAGCCGTTGAATATACTTGTTTCGAAATGAGATAGGTTATGAGGGTGCAGGCTCAGGGTGCTGAACACAACCACTTGGCAAAAGAGTTCGCCAAAGAGAATTGGCCACGTGAGCATGAGTGACAACAACACAACCTTTTCGGACCATGACCTGAAAAAAGAGGCGCACAAACAAGCAAACAAACAAACAAACAAACAGACAAAGAACCAAAGAAGCAACCAAAGAAGCAAACAAAGACAGAAATACAGAAAGAAAGAAAGAAAGAAAGAACGAAAAAAAGAAAGACAGAAAGAAAGAAAGAAAGAAAGAAACAAAGAAAGAAAGAAAGAAAGAAAGAAAGAAAGAAAGACATAAATAAATAAATAAATAAATAAAGACAGAACGAAAGAAGAAAGAACAAACAAAGAAATAAAACACACAAACAATCAACCACACAAGCAAACAAGCAATAAATCAAACAACTAGGGATAGTTTGAGCCTCCAAGAGTTGGCTTGGCGCTTTCCGGCTGCAGTTACTTGTTGGACACTTGGTGGAGGGGCATTGGTTGGCAACTAAGTTGAAAAACCCAGTGACACCACAAAACAACAATGAACAGCGCAAGTGAGGGCCGTCCTAAAATTGGAACTTGAGCACTCCCAGGTCACCTGGCATTCGGAGGATACCCCAAACCATGCAAGCCTGTTGAATTTGTCCAGCCCAACTCGAAAGACATTGATTACACACCACAAGGTATGACAAATCCTGACATATGACACAACCCTCATGTTGACGGACATGACGTGTGCATCTCTACAATGGCCGTTTTGTTTGGTACGCCATTTGAGCGAACAAAATGGTAGGTGTTTGTTTTAGCGTCGGCCTGGCTTTACACCCAGGTTTCTGGGGAACCCATGGGGGATGTTGAGGGAAACGGTGGCCCAGATGGGATCCGAAAAACGGGCCCTCCTTTTCAGCTGGGAGAACAAAAAAACAAACAGAATCTCCACCCAATTCTTTGGGACGTTGCTTCAAGGATGAGATCCCATGAAATTAGTGGGGAAGTACAGCCAGGGATTTGTGTTGACAATCATGGGAATGCTCTAACGAAATTGCCAAGGGCCCGGCGCGCAGTGGGGCTTCTCTGCGCGCCGTGGCCGAAATTGAGATCGCGCTGCGGGCAATTTGGCGACGTGAAGTTGCGCTCGCGAGGCATGACTTCAGCGAAGGGGGCCTTTACACAGCACGAAGGCCCCATGCACTTGAGGGAAACCTGGGACAAATATTGCGAATAGGTGAAACACTCTTCTTTAGGGGATTGGTCTGTGTAGATTCGGGGATCCCTGAATCGGAGTCCCGGAATGGGAGCTTCGACCGTGGTCTTTCCTCGAGACCGTCCCAATCGGGGCAGCACTTTCAAAGGGAGGCCCAAAGTGAAGCCAAAGGAAATGACCCCGATCGATGCTTCCCTGTTTGACCCCAAAGGTGGGAATTGACATGGGGGTCATGTTCAGTAAAGCCACCAAAAAACCAAAACAGGATGAGGGTGCCGCCGAAATGGGCGCAACGATCCTCTGGCAATGGGAGCAACCCTGTCGCGTCGACTAGGAACCAACGGAAACTGGTTGACTCTCTCAGAGATTGAAACAAACAGGAAGAGTACTGAAAAATGAATGTTCCACATGCCAAACATATCCAAGCGTACACATACCCCGCGAAAGTCTCGCCCGAAAGATCCGCCCTTCAAAGCCGAGGAAATGTTTCCCTTATGTGCCCATGAGCAAGTGCACAGGCATGTAGGTACACCTTTGCAGAAACTTTGGACCCTCGAAGCCGTTTTTCTTTGAGCTTCCTGCCTCTCGCGCTTCGCAATGCAATGATCTGCTCTAACCATACTTCACCTAGATTCGAGGAATCCCTGACGGGATCTTCATGGCCGACCTGCTTCCCACCTCTTGAAACACATAGTGCAATTGTAGGAGGTCCAGGTACTCCATAGAAGCCAATATGATAGCAAACATGGACCAACCATGTGGAATAATTGTCACAGTCTCGCATGACACAATCGTGACCGGCGTTCGGGACCAATCGTCTTCCAAAATTGCATGAGCATCCGGAACACGGGCCCTCCACATGCGACTTCTGAGCGTGACCTTGCTTGAAGAGAATCATCCGATTCAGAGCCATAGCGCACAGCGCCATTGCAGCCAAAGAGTGACAAGTGACCAATATTGACTATTACTGGGTCAGACCAACGTGAAATCCTGCTGATTTCAAGGGAACACGACCCCCAAAAGTATTTTTGGGCACCCCTGAACGCGGCCACCTCAAAGGACCAGTGTCCGAACCTTCAGCCATCAGGCACGGCAGCTTGCACCAGGCTCATGTTTTCTCGCAAGGCGCAACGATTAGGCACCTTTCATCACTGTGGTGGCAGACGCGATGGCGAAAAAGATCATTGCGGTGCAAGTCCAGCATTGACCTGAGTGGAAGAATGGATGTCTTTTATGTGGGCGCGCATAGAAAGGATATATGTATATTGTATTGTCTGCCATGGCTTCATATTAAATATGAACATCAAACACCGCATGCCTTTTACATTTACTGGGTCCTTCACTTGTGGCCTCATGCTTCCAAGCCCCTTTGCCGTGAGCTAACCCCAAAACCGACTCATTGACAAACTCGGTTTCAGGGTTGTCAAGGGCCCCCCAAAGTGAGGCCAATGGCAGATATGTTTCAAGCAAATAGAAGGCTCCCAGCTGGTATGCGTAGGATGCCACTATGACTATGTGCCACAGATAGCACCTGCAGCATGCGGATACGGATTGAAAGGAGCACTGCCGGTCAGGGTCAATTATACACTTTGAGTGACTAGGAAAGACAGGTTGTAAGACTTTGCCGCCAAACCACACACAGTAATCGAACTTCCTCCTGGCCATCCCCGCTTTGCAAATGTCATGTCCACGCAAAAGTGAGTTAACCACCGTGCATGTGCTATGGTTCAAACTTGCCAGGTAGGTGAGTCAGTCTTGGTCGCCGTTCTCACAGGAACCCTCGCAGTGGTTGTTCAATGTTCTGTTTGAGGTCGACGACCCTAGCTTCAATTGACGGGTGCACTGCGACCATGGCACATGAACGTGAGATGCGGCAGCTTGAGACTTGTTTTTAGGTGCCTCTAGATTTATTGAGCTACCATCTCAGCATAGAATCTGCCTGGAAGACCATGCTCCTCTTGGCAACGAGCCTCCGGTGATTTCCATGTGAGTGGACGGCAGGGTACCCTCCTTCAGACCCAAACGCCGCGAAACCCGCGAATCCACCGCGGGAACCAAACAAAAACAACAAGAACGCCGAGGATGGGACAGCAGCAGAAGGTGTGCAGGCCGCAGTCGCAAACCTTTGCGCGGACAGCCCTAGACTCAGACTGGTTGCAAACACCAATGCTCTCCTTTGACTTGGTTACGAGGAATGTCTTTCGGGGCCCTTGGGTTCCATGCCTACCTTTTGGGCCCCCGGAGATCCTGGACTAGGGGATCCCCGGTATTCTTCTATCAGAATCAAGGGGCATGCGTCGCAAGCTGAAGGACTCACGCTTCCCCCCCTCGCACCTGGATCCTGGATCCAGGGTTTGAGGGAGTCGCCCATCCAAGCGAATGAAATGGGACACAGACCAAAATCCATGGGACCAAGCATTACACTGCCCCCACTCCCAACAGAACACAACAACAGCAACATCTGGCAACAGAAAATGGCCCCCCTGTCTGTGATATGGAGACTAGTACCAAAGTGAGTGACGCCCGCGCACATGACTATTTTGTCATCACATCAAGCGGCCCTGAAGCCGCATTTCCCACACTGGCGCTCTGTGAGGTCCGGAAAACATGGAAACAAACAAACGTGAAAGTTGGACACCTAAGCAGCCGAAACAGGGCTCATCCCAACCTCAGCTGTCGCCAACGAAAAGGGGCATTTGTGGATTCGGGCAATAGGAAAGTGAACCTGAACGCGTCACAAATGATACCATGTCAAAGGCCGCAACAAATTTATCAGAAACAAAGAGGTGCCCCACTCACTTCCGCAAAAGTGGAGTGGCCAAGCAAGGTCCAAACTTTCCTGAACCCAAACAATTAATAATCTTCCACTTTTTCCCCAAGTGGACGTGTCGTATTTTGAGGCGGCAGTTTTGTTTTCTGGTTTTTAAAGGGAAGCCATCAGCAGGAACACAAAAACACCATTTTTTTTTTGGGGGGGGGCTCCCCCAAGAAACCAAGGCACACCCAAGCCCAAGCACACACTTGGTTGGTTTCCAGCCGCCGGGTCCCACAGTCGTCCCATCCGCGCGCCCGAGCCCCGGGCGCAGCAAGCGATCCAAACGCTGCCCAGCCAAATGGCCGCCATGGCCGCCTGGTGACGTGACGTCGGGGGCTCGCTCGAAAGATGTGGACTGGCCCGCAAGAAGCTCTCCCAAAACTGGGCCCGTTTTCAGATCCCCCGAGAAAAAAGAAGAGGAAGAAACAAAACGGGAAACTGCTAAAAGGCTAAGGGGATGGCTGGGGGCCACCAAGAAAACTTTGTGGTTTTTGCCACGGAAATGGCCCAGACCCAAAAACTGAACTCAGGGAGTAGCTCCCAAACGTGTTGTGTTTTTGCCACTCACATGCTCCAAATCCAAAAATCGTGACAACAATTTGTGAACTTGGGGAGTGAGGGTTTGTCTGAGAAAATAGAAAGTGGAACCCATCAAAATTTAAGGCCTCCCTTTTGTATCCCTTCGACCGAAAGAATACCCTCCACCCTCAACAAAAAGAGGTCCTATAGGTCCTATAGGGATTCCTTACATGGATTCCTGCAAAAACCGGACTCCTTTAGACAACCATGACAGGGACTTCTTGAAAAACGGAGCCACGACCGTGGCCAGAAGGAGTCTCCATATTTCCCAATTTGGTGCTTTCGAACATCACTTTTTCTTGGCCCATCCGTACAGAAAAAAATAAGTAAACAAATGCTGCTTCACATTTAGTCTATCCTAGTGGAGGGATCCCAGTTTAGAGGATGTTCCTTTTGGGGAATCATCCCCAGCCTGCCCCAACTAGAAATGCCGTCTCAGATTCTGGAAGCCATAGCAGTGACCTTAAGATGCAATAAATATGTCACAACAGGTTCCACCTGCATTTTAAACACGCAAGACAATGTCCTCTATCCACCGGAGGGTTGTGGGGAATGCCGCCAGTCCGCTTCCATGATCGTTGGGGTTAGGGTCCATAGATCTGTTAGGGTCCATAGATCTCCTCCTGGTGTACCACCTGCCGCTTTTCGCAACCCAGGGGAACGCATTCCAATGCGGACCTAAAGAAGACCTCCCACCTTCCGATCCACGGACTGGGGGCTGCTTGTATCAGGGTTCCGCAAAAAGGTACATCACACCAGGTGCTTCACAGGTGCTCTACCAGGAAATCACAGGCGAAATGTGATGTTCAAAGTCGCCGTATGCTTTAGGCAACCAGGTGCATCCTCCAGAAGAACAGACTGCAGATTTTCGGGCTGAGTGGGGATATGCCTGTTCAAGAAACGTGCGGCGCCTCTTGCCAAGGGAAAGTGGAACCCAAGTGAACTGTAGCCCCAAAAGGGGCCCGACTGGGCCAACCAGATGTCGAGCCCATCTGAGGCCACGACCCATTCGGCGTAGCCGGTGGTGAGGGACACCTTGTAGTCAAAGGTGATAACCTCGCAGGCGCCAGTCCGCCATTCTGGATGGTTTACATCTGGGTGAATTACAATATTTTAGCAACCTGAAACTTGCGGTGGTTGGGGGGCATTCCCCACATAAACACCACCATTTGGGGTGATTTCGGTCGTGCGAGGTCGTTATAATTCACCCAGATACATTGGGTTTTATGCCCACCGATGATGGTTGAGGGTGTTTCCCATCAACAGTGATAACCATGTCAGTATGCCTTATGTTGCATCAAGGACGGGGTTGCCTGGGTGGTGGTTTGTAGGGTCTCTGGCACGAGCCAAAACAGTGCCATGACAAACGCAAACAGGGAGGTGCCTTCAAGCAAGAAGCAGTGACCGTCAACGCAATGCTGTTCTTTGGTCTTGGGGCATTTTCAAATGTGACATATCTGGACGTAGGGGTGGTTCTGCGTCTTGCTTTCACTTGACCT